CCCACACACACACACAAACACACACTCACACTTTTGTTCCAGTTGAAATATTTTTTTGCTTGTCATTTTGAGAATGTTTGGTTTCTTTGAGCAAACAGAGGATAGGTTGATGGTGGTCAGATGGTGCCACTGATAGGTCTTATTTCTCTCTTTTCTTTTCCTTGTTTTTTCTGTTTTGCCTTAATCTTTTCTCGAACTCCCTTCCCTTCTTTTATAACCTGCCCCACACAAACAAACGCACACACTCACAGGTACACACAGCCCCTCCCTCTGTCTCAAATTAACTCATTATCTCCCTCTCACTTTCTCTCTCTCCTCTCCCCCTCTCACCACCCCTCTTCTCGTTTTCCTCTTGTCTGTCACCCCCTCCCCCCTCTCTCTCCCTCTCTCTCTCTTTCTCTCACAGACACACACCCGTGTAGACAGACAGTCTACTGTGACCACACATAACATTGCATTTCTCCACGTCCACAAAGAACAAGTTTCCCTGGAGCAAACACTCCAGAACGAACGGGAAGAACCCCCCCCTCCCCCCTCCCTCCCTCGTCCTAACACCCTCACCCTTCCTGCCAGGGACCCCTGTGTGACCTTTTGACAGAATCTTCCAAGATGGCGACACAAGGAACAGCGGCTTTGACGTCATCGTCTGGAGGAATCGAATACAGCTGGACGAGATATTTTGTATTTCATCTGGATTTTCGATAACAAGAACTCAATCCAATCACCATGAAGTCGATATTTTTCTTTTTTTGGGGAGGGTATTCCTTCTTTTCTTTGTGTGTTCCTCTCCAGCAACTCTTCGAATCTTCGGCACTTATACGACCGATTTGTGTTGGGAGTTCCGTAAAACGACCTAACTAAAACTAAAGCTATCTTAGTATTCTGTAACTTGCACAAAAAAGAACACGATAAGACATTGAGTAATGATACCATGACGAATACCACTTAGACGAGGTAATCGCCCGGCACAGTCGCTTGTTTTATTTATTTTTAGTAAGAGTTTTACAGCCCTTACAACATAATAAGGTCATAGAAGTGTCGTAGATTACAGGTGCTACAAGAGAGTAACAAACACAATAAGGTCATATAAGTGCCGAAGATTAGAGGTGCTACGAGAGAGTAACAAACAAAAAAGAAGGAGGGGAGATATTGACAATAGATGTTTGAAAGGAAAGAAGAAGCAAACCCCAACCGATCACCCGCCAACCACCCGCAGTCGCTGTTCCCCGGTCCCCCGATGACCCTGAGTTGACCCCCAGACTCGCGGAGTTATTGACCTTTGTTATGTAAGTCCAGCACCGGACACCGCCCGACATCTGGTCAATATTTGGTGACCTTTGTCTGGGGTGCGCGGATTGAACTCTGGGACTCGCACGTCTAACTGTTTCACTTATGCCTGGTGCACGTCGCGCATTTGATACATTTAATTTTGATGCGTCTGATATAATTTGATACATTTGATACATTTAATTTTGATGCGTCTGATATAATTTGATACATTTGACACATTTACTCTTC